CTCTGCTGAAGGTTTCCTTCTGTTACAAGAGTGCTTTTCCTCTCCACTGTTACAGTATGCATGCTTGGTGTGGGGAACAGCTGCAGAGCCAATAGCAAACCAGTGTCTACTGTCGCTACACGCTCATCCATGAGGAGAAAACCTTACCTTGGACAGAAAACATTTAACCAATCTGGCAGAAGACTCAGCTGAGTCATTTTTGCGAAGCTTTGATAAGTTATGAAGTGGTGCTATATAAACTGACATGAAATGAATACGTTTTCAAACCTCAAATTCATGTCGTAACTATTGACCCGACGATTAGCCTAATTTGAGGGATTCTCTGGTCAATATTCAACATTTAGTGCATATCAATTGCCCACAAGGTAAGATGGCAGAAAAGGGGAGACAAATATGTGTGTTAACTAGAGCAAGCAGGTAATTATATTGTGTGTTATGTGTGACTTCTAGCTGTCACACTTAGAAATACTAATTACAACACAAATATAGTTATATGTGTTTGTAGTGAGCTGCAACTGGGGGAAAAGGAAAAAAAAGGACTTTTTTTTTAATATACAAGGTTTAAAACTTGTTTGGGTTGAATCAAGAAAGGATATAAAAGGATTCCAATTTCTTGAAAGGCAGAGATATTCTTAATTTGAGCATTATGTTTTTCTATTTCTATGTAATCTGAGGTCAAATGTTTCCAATGATTGACGTGACATGCATTATTTGATTTCCAGTTATGGAGGACTACTATCTTAGCAAAGGCTGGAGAAATGAGTAGACGAGTAGTAGATGGCTGGATAGTGCAGTGTTACCAGTTGTGCTACACCTGGGGTCCATTTCAAGAAGCAGGTTTAACAAACCTAAGGTCAATTTATGGTCAGTTTAGAAATTCAGATCTGAAACTCTAAATTGATCTAGCCTAAAGTCGGGAACTCCAAGTTTTTGGTTTCACAATGACTGCTATGAATTAGTTAAATCAACTTTAAAAAGGTCCACTCAAAGTTGAGCACATATGTAACGGTATGATAAGCCATGATCAGTGGAGCAATTCGATGAGTCACCATGACAACAGGCAACAGGAAGTGCCTATTTCACCCAACTGGAACTGGAGAAGAAATGGGAAAAAAATGGAGAATGTGTTTAAAAGACAGAGAAAGAGTGCTACAGCTGCAAAGGAGAGGAAGATGATGAAGGAGAAGATTGCTGCCAGACTTAATGCATCGGTTTATGAGAAGTGGACTATGGCAGGTCATTTTAACATTAATTAAAAGCCCTCCCCTTTCTATTGTTCTATTTTAGATAACTAAAATAGGATTCTTCTTGATCAAAATCACACTCCTAGACTGAGCTATAATAATACATTTTCTAAATTACATTTTTGCAACAGAAACTGAATTCCAGGAAGTCAAAAAAATTGTACTAGTAAGAATTACATTTTATATTCCTAGAAGAGTTTTCACATTTTAAGTGGCTGTTTTGACATTCATCAGCTTGACCAAGTATACATTTATGATATCTGAAATACAGTTCTTCATATTCAAATGCTGACCAGTAAAAATAGGAATATAGAGATCTGAAATTAATTTCTAGACATCCAGAATGTTTATTATAGATGTAAAGAATGTCATTTTGTTTGAAATGTTCATTTTGACAGGGAACACATGTTTTTTTTTCCAGATACACTATATTGCCAAAAGTATTTGCTCACCTGCCTTGACTCACATATGAGCTTAAGTGACATCCCGTTCCTAATCCATAGGGTTCAATATGACGTCGGTCCACCCTTTGCAGCTAGAACAGCTTCAACTCTTCTGGGAAGGCTGTCCACAAGGTTTAGGAGTGTGTTTATGGGAATTTTTGACCATTCTTCCAGAAGCGCATTTGTGAGGTCGCACACTGATGTTGGACGAGAAGGCCTGGCTCTCAGTCTCCGCTCTAATTCATCCCAAAGGTGTTCTATCGGGTTGAGGTCAGGACTCTGTGCAGGCCAGTCAAGTTCATCCACACCAGACTCTGTCATCCATGTCTTTATGGACCTTGCTTTGTGCACTGGTGCACAGTCATGTTGGAAGAGGAAGGGGCCAGCTCCAAACTGTTCCCACAAAGTTGGGAGCATGGAATTGTCCAAAATGTCTTGGTATGCTGAAGCATTCAGAGTTCCTTTCACTGGAACTAAGGGGCCAAGCCCAGCTCCTGAAAAACAACCCCACACCATAATCCCCCCTCCACCAAACTTTACACTTGGCACAATGCAGTCAGACAAGTACCGTTCTCCTGGCAACCGCCAAACCCAGACCCGTCCATCAGATTGCCAGATGGAGAAGCGCGATTCGTCACTCCAGAGAACGCGTCTCCACTGCTCTAGAGTCCAGTGGCGGCGTGCTTTACACCACCGCATCCGACGCTTTGCATTGCACTTGGTGATGTATGGCTTGGATGCAGCTGCTCGACCATGGAAACCCATTCCATGAAGCTCTCTGCGCACTGTTCTTGAGCTAATCTGAAGGCCACATGAAGTTTGGAGGTCTGTAGTGATTGACTCTGCAGAAAGTTGGCGACCTCTTCGCACTATGCGCGTCAGCATCCGCTGACCCCGCTCCGTCAGTTTACGTGGCCTACCACTTCGTGGCTGAGTTGCTGTCGTTCCCAAACACTTCCATTTTCTTATAATACAGCTGACAGTTGACTGTGGAATATTTAGGAGCGAGGAAATTTCACGACTGGATTTGTTGCACAGGTGGCATCCTATCACAGTTCCACGCTGGAATTCACTGAGCTCCTGAGAGCGACCCATTCTTTCACAAATGTTTGTAAAAACAGTCTGCATGCCTAGGTGCTTGAATTTATACACCTGTGGCCATGGAAGTGATTGGAACACCTGATTCCAATAATTTGGATGGGTGAGCAAATACTTTTGGCAATATAGTGTATCAGAAATACATAGTCAGTAAAACTACTACATATCAAAACAGCTTGCCGTAATCCATCAGCCCCAGGTACAGGCTCTCTGTGACCTTACCGTATCTGGCAATTGTGTGTAAAAAAAAAAAAAAAAAAAAAAAAAAAGAAAGAAAAAATTACATTTCTGCAACACTCCTCACTACATGTAGGAAAGCTGGGCATGATGCTAGGTTATTTATCCACATCACATAAATCACGTCACTGAACAACATACAACTACAGCTACAATTACCCTGCAGTGGACATCTGTCCATCGTAGGACCACTATATTCTATTCAACAGCACATAATTAAGTAGATGTTATTCTGTCTAGCTCCATCCATGCCCATTCTCCTATACATAAAGCATCTAAATCAAGGGTTACTAACATGGTGCCCACAATATTTGTTAAATATTTTCTACAAATTAATCTGAGATCTTGAAATGTTGCATTTCTCCTGTCTTCGCCAAATGGGTTATGAAAAAGTTTTTACGACATGGAAAACATGTTTTCCAAAAATATGTATGTCATGCATCATATTTTATGTTTCACAGAAACCATCAACTGAATCAGAGTGGAAGGCGATTGCCAAAGACTTTGAGGGGAAATGGCAGTTTCCACACTGCTTAGGAGCATAGATGGGAAGCATGTAATTATTTAACCCCCTGGCAACAGCGGAAGCATGTTTTAGAACTACAAGTCTACATCTTGCCAGGCACTGATAATCCGATACCCTACATGCTAATTGGTGATGAAGCATATCCCCTCCGACCAGATCTTAGCCCCTTGAACCCTACGGACCCACCGGCGGGTCCAGCTGCTACATGACCTCGTAATTTTACCAAACCCCCAGTATTGATGTAAAAAACACATTTGGCACAGTTTGGTGACATTTATGGATAAATGTGCCAAACTGGCCCCTCCGCCTAAGAAATTTCTCACTAATACCATTCTAAAATAAATATGATTCATCTGATTGAGTCCAAATTTGGTATATTTTTACACAACATTTAGATTTGAAAGTCTGTACTACTTTTTTGTGCTATAAATAATATTTTGGTAGTGTTTTGCAATGTTTATTTCAAAGAAAATTTTGGCGAGGTTCAAAAAATGCAAAATATTTTGTATTTTGTCCCTAATATTTCAGGCAGGGTCAAAGCTACAATGGTGCTGACACCAGAAAACCATTCTATGACATCTTACCTTTACAGACGTACCAAAAGTTTCTTCTTAAATCTAATAGCTGTGAGGCTATAAGTGATTTACTTTTGTGTGTTTTTGTCAGACAGAAATTTATTTATACCCCCTTAGGGTGTAAGAGGTTAGAGAAACCATATCCCTTTCGGAACCTAAACGTCGATCAGCGCATCTTCAACTATCGTCTTTCCAGAGTGCGCCGTGTTGTGGAGGATACTTATGGAATTCTTGGGAATTGGTTCAGGATTTTGAGAACATCTATTTGCCTGGATCTAGACAAGGAAGTCAGCATTGTCTTCACAACTTCCTCCGACAGCAGAAGTCTGAGGCCTACATACCACCTGGCTATGTAGATTCAGAGGATGCAAACTACCAGCTGGTACAAGGAGCATGGAGAAGTGAGGGGGCACCTCAGTCCATTTCAGCAGGCCAAGCACGTAACCCATCGATGGAGGCAAAGAGACAAAGGGAGGTTCTTTGCCAGTACTTCGTCTCACCAGCAGGAAGCGTGCAATGGCAAGAAAATCTGGTGTAGCTCATAGACCAAAGTCAAACCTTTTAAGTTTTTGAGTCATATCATCTACCTATTCATAGCTGAGGGTGTTATTTTGGAAAGCTGAACATTTCTGTACTGATGTTTACAACCTTCTGATGTCATTAAAGCCATACAAATGAGAATGATGTGTGTCCCGCTCTTTCGTTATTAAGTTTTCTAATCATCGGCTGTGTTAGAACATTTTTTTTTTTTATTGGATAAGATGAACAAAGTCTCCACCCATAATAATCCAGAGCAGAACAATGTTCACAACCACTTGGAGCATAAAGAAATACAAACAAATGTAATGATAGAAACCTTAGTTAAATGAACAGGCTGTCATTTTGCACATCTTTTATTTTGCTATTTTTTAAATACCCATTACTATAAAACTTTCTCTGCTTATGACAGCAGAATTATCCCTTTGAGGGACAATAACAGGATTTTCAATTACATAAAAGGGGTAGACAAATATCAGTAAATCTAAACAATGTATAAACATCTGAAAACTGTTACATTCAACAAAAAAGATTAAGCAAACTGTGCAAAATAGGAATAAAAAATAAGATCCGATTTATAGTCCGCACACTGCAGATGTAGTTGAATCTGTACTTAAAAACCAAACCCATTTAAGCAGCCCATAGATTTAAACAAACAAGCCTAATTAAACATGTTATTTTATCTTAAACCATAATAAAAACCATAAATGTGCCTTAGTGGGAAATAAAAGATTTAATCCTTTACTAAAAATTTTTATAATGAAAATAGGTGCAAACACTGCAAAAAACAACAAGATGGCGGAACACAAATAAAAAAAATATCTACATTTTTATGAAAAACCGCTGCTGTATTGCCATATACAGCTTAAAAAAACAAATCCAAAAAAGCACGCACAACAAAAAAATGGGAAATATGGAAAAGAGAGGTAGTTTGGTCACACAGATTTAAAATGCAGAAGTTTGTTTACACAGCTAGTCATGATGCATCATGCTAGTGAACGACATAGGCTGGCTAGATGGGAGCGGGTAGTTTTGGCAGGGATACAGCGATGGACTGGAGAGCTGAGTTGCATACTGGCTTGGACCAGTACGGTCTGCCTCCAGTGCATCATATATCATGTTCATGATGTTTCGCTTCAGCCGTAATTGCACTGCTCCATCTCTAATGTTTCTCAACTCAGAGGCTACTTGCTGTCCAAACAGCTCATTGGAGTCTTCATTGGACGCGAGAGTTCGCTGTATCTGCTGGAGCAGTGACAGTTTGGCCATTTCAAGACTTTGAGCAGATTCTGGCTTTTTTTTCGTGGCTACTTGTTTCCGGACAAGCTGACACGTCGAAGGCGAACTGCTTTCCTCTTCCTCCACTTCAGCTTCAGTTTCCAACACTGATGAATCCTCCTCGCCCTCAAATGTGTCGTCTAACTCAACGGCGGGCTGTGAAAAACAGCCAAGAAATCAGTCAGAAGTGAAGTGATTACAATGGAATAACTACTTCAGACAATTTCACATAGGGCTGGGCGACGATTCAATAACGATATATATCGATCGATAGACGTGCGGCGCAATAGAAAAAAAGTCTATTGGGCGATATAGAAAAAAAGCTTATCGATAAAAAAAAATGCATATTGATCGATATCGATAATTATTGAAAAGATTTGAAATCATATTTTATGTGCAGCTCGGCCTGGACTTTTTATGATATTGCTAAATGATTTAATTTTAATAAAGAACACAAACACAGACTTCCAATTAAATCTTTATTTAACCAACTTTTTTAACCATAACAGAATTGTTTTAAAGAAAAATAACTTAGGAGACCTGAGTTATGTTATTAAATACTGACAAATAATAAACTAAAGTGACCAGAAAAGTGACCAAAATAAATATAACATGGAACAATTTCCTCCGCCTCTCCTTGCTGCGACTTCTTCATGTGCTCTATGTTGTGGTTTGAGAGGGCGGCGCTTGGTGAAGGCGTGCCTGGGTCCGCAATTGTGATTGGTTGGGAGGAAGTAGTGACTAGCATAAACCTACATGCTAGGCTACAATGAGAAGGAAGGAAAACTGCGTTTTTTTTAATCGAACTTTTATCGACTCTCTTTTTTTCTTATGCGCCACACGTCTATCGATCGATATATATCGTTATTGAATTATCGCCCAGCCCTAGGTTATATAGACTTACTCTCAGTGTAGATTCTGTATGTCGGTGGATGACATGACCCTTTAAAAAATCCAAGTGTCTCAGTATCCACTTCTGCTTGGGAGTCAGTGGTTTATGGCCACTTCCGCTGGGCTTTGGTTTCAGCAGCTTGCCATATTGCGTCCGTAGTGAAGCTACGCGGGTTTTAACCTCATTCGCTGCAGAAGAAACATACGGAGCCCCTCTGATGACACGGTCAAAAAAATTTTTTAATTGTGCGCACATAAGGATAACGCACTACTTCGTGGCCAAGCAATAAGTTTAACGTGCTTCTTATTAAATTCTTATTAATAATATTAATATCATTCATGGACAACTGGGTAAGCAAATTGAGCACGCCTTCTCTAAGGTCTAAGGCACGCTAGATTTGCTTACCCAGTTGTCCAGGAATGATATTATTATTATTAAGTATTTTGTGCGCACATTAAACTTATTGCGTGGCCACGAAGTAGTATTTCGTGCGCACGTTATACTTATTGGGTGGCCACGAAGTAGTATTTCGTGCGCACGTTATACTTATTGCGTGGACACGAAGTAGTATTTCGTGCGCACGTTATACTTATTGCGTGGCCACGAAGTAGTATTTCGTGCGCACGTTATACTTATTGCGTGGCCACGAAGCAGTATTTCGTGCGCACGTTATACTTATTGCGTGGCCACGAAGTAGTATTTCGTGCACACGTTACACTTATTGCGTGGCCACGAAGCAGTATTTCGTGCGCACGTTATACTTATTGCGTGGCCACGAAGTAGTATTTCGTGCGCACGTTATACTTATTGCGTGGCCACGAAGCAGTATTTCGTGCGCACGTTATACTTATTGCGTGGCCACGAAGTAGTATTTCGTGCACACGTTACACTTATTGCGTGGCCACGAAGCAGTATTTCGTGCGCACGTTATACTTATTGCGTGGCCACGAAGCAGTATTTCGTGCGCACGTTATACTTATTGCGTGGCCACGAAGTAGTATTTCGTGCGCACGTTATACTTATTGCGTGGCCAAGAAGCAGTATTTCGTGCGCACGTTATACTTATTGCGTGGCCACGAAGCAGTATTTCGTGCGCACGTTATACTTATTGCGTGGCCACGAAGCAGTATTTCGTGCGCACGTTATACTTATTGCGTGGCCACGAAGCAGTATTTCGTGCGCACGTATACTTATTGCGTGGCCGCGAAGCAGTATTTCGTCCGCACTACCAACCACAACAAAGCCTTCTGAACCAAGCTGCTAGTCAAAACAAAAACTTACCTGGTAGCTGTAATTGGACTGCGATCGCCTCCCAACTTTTCTCCCTTTTTCTTCTGTCATGGTAGCTTTTGGAGGCAACATCAAAGAGGCTGGGGTGAGCTTTCCACAGTTCCACGAGCCGCTCCTCTGTCGACTGACTCCATCTCACACGCACAGCCGCCATGATTCTGTGTTTGTTTGACCGTGAGCCTTGAGAGGAAGCAGAAGAAGAATCCTTGTTTGCGCATGCACACTGCGTGATTTGCCCACAACGGTCGGGAGAAAATCAAACATGTTTTATATTCTCCTGACCTCACAATTCCTGATCAGGAGGTGGTCGTGAGAGGCTGATCACCGCTCGTAACCCCTATTACACTACATGACTCACGATCAGGCTGAAAGTCGGGCCGATCGAAAAATTCTCACACGACTGGAAAATCGCCCCAAAAATCGCACAGTGTACTAGGGGTGTAAATCACACCCATCATGGTGATCCGATTCACTATCGATTTCCGGACCCAACGATTCGATTATTTTCGATACTCAAGAATGCACCATGATAAGATTCGATTAATTGGTTAATTTATTTTTCTTTACCTTACTGGCTAGACAATGTTTCAAATTTGAAATAAATCAATGAAAGCTGTAAAATCGTTATGGATTTTATTTGAGAAACAACAGCAAATAACAGAAGTAGAAAAGTTGTACTCCACCTAGGCTTATTAAAACCTCATTCACTAAAAAATAATAATACCCCTGCATTATAGATTTTGAAAGGCCTTGTATCAGAAAATGCTGCACAAAATCAGCGCACTGAGTGCAATGCAATACCTCGGCTCCATAGTGTCGACGTCCCCGCCCCCTCCAAAGACACTCCACTGCTCCTCTCCCAAATTGTAACTGACTGCAGACGGTGCCGCAGACAGGAGGCCGGCTTGTTTTGATTTTATGACCGCAATTGCGGAAAACGAGTTGTGAAGATGGACCAGCTAGAAGAGCGAGGTGCGCGAGAACGCTGGGACCCTTCTTTCCACCTGGATCTCTGCTCTTTTTGGCCCTCATGTCCCTCCGTTGTCGGACAAACTCGCCCCCACTTCCTCTCCGCCACGGCCATATCTAGACCCACAGTGTGTAGTGCCGACCACACAAACATTTTTCAAATTTTAAAGGTTTCGTGGGCCTCTTCTAAGAACTCTTATCTTCTTTCCATAGATTTTCTCTTTGATTCAAGTCAGGTTATTATACCATATATTTTAGCCACCTTATATAATCTGTTACCCCCATTACATGGGGAAAAAATAAACACATCCTTTCAATTTTGAAACTGTGTTTTTTCTATATTATGTTTAAAACATTTATTCTTTCATATATTGAAATCCAAAATAGTTAAAATAAATATGAGTGTTGGTTTGATGATCTTTATGAAATGTATTTTCAATTCTCAATTGTTTGAACTATTTTTGGAATATTTGTTAATTTGTTAGATAAACATTTAAATAGAAAATATATTTTATAAAGATCATCAAAGAGGGAACGGATTATATCAGGTGGCTAAAATATATGATTGCCCTCTCATTACTCTGGCAAATAATGATCAAACGTCCCAAAATCCAAAGGTTTTGATGTTGAAGAAGAGAGGAATGAACATTGCAGGAGAATTAATTTCTTCTCATGTTATGGAGGGGTAACAGAATATTTCAGGCAGCTAAAATATCCATTCTTTCCTCTTCTCCCAAATCTTTGGGAAATAAAGAGCAACTGTTTCCAGATTTTTTTTTTTTAACTGTTATTTATGATAGCATGTAGTAAACTAGAAATGTCCTTAATCCAGTAATCATTTTACATTAGAACGGGATTAACCCGAATGTCTACACTCTCATCTTTTCAGGAACTCTTAGTTTTTGTGTCCTGCTATCAGCCAGTTTCCATCCTCTTATATCAGCAATAAAAAAAATGATAAAAACTCACTACGTGTTGGAAAACTGGTGACTGACTTTTATTTCTGTCAGACTTATAGGACAGAAATTGGAAAAACACAGATTGTCTTAGCACTTAAAACAACAGCACAAAATAGCTTAAGAAGGACCTTGTTTATTTATTTATTTACTATTATTTAACATGGAGAAACATGGGGGAAATGTTTGTCTTTTTTGTTGTTGTTTGCTTGCCTCAGGAAAAAATTAACTGAGAAAACTAAAGGAGTTTACCAGGAACATTTTTTCTTTTGCCTGCATAAAATAAGTCCATGGTGCATCTGTGGCCTTTGTGGATCTCCACTTTTTTTGTGTCATCAAAGCTGCACCACAACACTGAGAGGAATCTTTACCTTGGCTCGATCCGGAGTCTTCATCACCGCCTCCATCCTGCTTCATCTTCTCAGCTTTAGCAGGGTTCTGAGAGCAAAGCCGGTTCCTGCTTGGTTCCAGTCCTTTGTGGATCTTTTTAAACGACTCCAGTTGCTCATCCTCATAACTGATCCCCAAATCCTCCTCTTCATCCTTAATCTGTGAGGGCTCTGCCTCCTCCTCCTCTTCCTCCTTCACATGCACACCTTCTGGGTCTGCCTCCTTCTTCAAATTAAAAGGTTCTGGTTCACAGACTTCCTCCTTTACTTGAACAAGTTCTGGATCTTCCACTTCTTGCTTTACCTTCAGATGCTCTGCTTCCTCTTCTTCCTTTATCCCCACAGGATATTCTTCCACCAGACCTTCCATCATATGCATCACTTCTTCAGGTCCAAACTCGACTCTGGATTTTGAATTCTTGAGGGAAAACAGAGCAAAGCAAATATTTATTCACTGTTATTTACTGTATAAGAGCCTCGAACTCAACACTATTTCTGTTAATTTAATTGAAAAAGCTTCCTGAAAGGGAAGCAAAATGCCTTCAAACTTGGAAACAAAGTCCAGTGGATTTTTTTAACCTTTTTGGGAAAGCTTGGTTGTTTATTCTAACAGAACCAAGCCGAACACTGGATCTAAAAAATGAGGAATGAACGTTTGCTAAAGGCTACAGTTGGCTGTAGCCTCTAGTTAGCAGCATCCACTGTCAAACAATAAACAGGAGACTCCTGTCTACTTCATGTCGGTTCATTTAAGCAAGAAAGTCGAAATAATAAAGCCAAGCAGCGACAAACCCAAACTCCCCTGATATGTTTTGCATCACTGCTGGTCGCATACCTGCGCCCTGGAGGCCAGTTCGGGTTTTCCGGTCAGCGAAGCTAAAAATAACCCTCCTCCTCGTATTGGACGATTGTTAGTTCAAAGTCCAAAGATATTCTCGTCATAACCAACAGTCGGTTTCTCAGGGACCCACATATTTAGCTCACACAGCAAAGCAAAACAGAGGATGAAGCCCAGCACCGATCCACTTCCGGTAGTAGAAGGAAACCATTGGCTGTATTTAGCGCCACCTAGTGGTCTGGAGGTTTAGACTCTCAGAGAAACAACTGTATGACGTTTGATTTGATATTCAAAGATTAGGTCAGACAAGCAGGCAGGTTATATAGCTAGGGTGACCAAACGTCCGTATTTCCCGGGACATATCCGTATTTCACGTCCTGTCCCGGGCGTCCCGGGTTTTTTTTAGAAAGTGAGGAAATGTCCTGATTTCACTGCGCACGACGCTCCGTGTGACGTAATCCCTGAGCCGCGTCAGAGCGGGCAGCCCTGTTCTTAATCAGAGGCTCTGTTCGAAATCCTGGGCTGCATCCTCCAAGGACGCGGTCTGCCTAGACTGGATCCTTCGAAGTCCTTGAAAATAAGGAGGCCAGAAGAGTTTTGTCTGTAAATTCGAACAGGTCCACCCTTCGGCGGGTTTTACCGGCGTATGCTCTGTTGCTTAGCAACCGTGAACGTTGACACACAAAGCAGGAAAAGAATGAATACCGAGGTTTTCAAAACTGTTTGTTTATTTATTTATTTTTAAAAAAAATTAAAGCGAACAAAGACTACACTCACAAGAATCCAGAGTGGAATAAAGGTTCCAACCAGCGGGAGCAGGAACAAATCAAATCAAATGTAATGAAATAAACCTTAGTCAGTTAAATAACCTGCTGCTGTCATTCTGCACATCTCTGATGTTGCTGCTATTTTCAAATATCCATTACTGTAAAAATGTCCATAGCTGCATATTGGTTATTAGTTCTCCAGTTTTATATTGTTAAAACACTTTACAGTATTTTATTGTTTATATTTTAAGTCTTCCCTATTATGTCATTCTTATACATTTTTCTAAGGTCCTCATTTGTGTGACTATTTTCAATAATCGTTCTGCTGCTGTAAATTTGCACATTGTGGGACAATAAAGGGATTTTCTATACTATAAAAGGGTTAGAAATACATAAGTAAATCTAAACAATGTATTTATAAAAATATATCTGCTAAATCTCTAATATTCAACAACAAAAATACTTAGTTAAGCATATTGTGCAAAACAACAATAAAAAAATTAAACTCCTATCAGATTTAGCCCCCACGCTGCAGATATATTAGAATCTGTCCTTAAATTACAGCTAAACCCATTTACACAGTAACAGATAAAAACCTCTAGATAAATCAAACACTACCGCCACATATCTGAACTACAGGCCCCCCCCCCCCCCCCCCCCCCCCCCCCCCCCCCGCCGCTCCAAGGTGTCCTGGTTTTCCCAAATGAAAATATGGTCACCCTAATATAGCAGCAAAGCAAATGGGCAGATTAAGCAAATAGTTACTCACAAGGCAGAAAACATGTATGTTATAAAATAGTGCTTTCAATAACTGGATACTGTAAACTGCTTACTGTAAACAGGAAAGCTCAAAATGGAGGAATTTGTTTTTCTGGAGTTTTAAAAAAAGCTTGATCTTAATTCAGTGAATTTAAACCAGATTTTACTCAACTGACAGCAGAGATGCTTATTGATTTAGAAAAAGTATTTACTAAAACTACTCCTAAAATAGCAGAATGTGACTTATTATGATCAAGGTATACCCTCATTTATACCACTATAACACTCCACCTGAAGAGTTTTTTTAAAATCCCTGACCTCTTATACTGAAAACAGAAAAAATGTATCAATTCTATTAATGGCAAAGTACAGTGTTATAACTTTTTACACAATACCTTTTTAGACCAATTAAACCTGTAGTCAGCCTCCTCTGTTTTTTTTTTGTTTTTTTTGTAAAGGCAAGGCAAGGCAAATTTATTTGTATAGCACAATTCAGTACAAAGACAATGCAAAGTGCCTTACATGATTAAAATATAAGAAAATAAAACAGAATCAAAGCAAGTAGGAAAATAAATAAAAATAAATATGCAGAAAAAAAGAATATTAAAAACAGTTGGACTGAAGAAAATAAAAAAATTTGAACTAATGATATTTCAGTTGAACTGTTTAACTAGAACAGTCGAAGGCAATCCTAAACAAATGTGTTTTTAGTCTTGATTTAAAGGAACTCAGGCTTTCCGAACTTTTACAGTTTTCTGGAAGTTTGTTCCAGATAATTGGAGCATAGGAACTAAATGCTGCTTCTCCATGTTTTCTAGGGAGTCTACTAGAATGGCATTTTCTTTCAGGGGGGAAGAATCTGTTAATTTGTAATCAGAGCTTTAATGCAGATATCATGAAATTTTCATTTTGGATCCACTTTAAATCTCTCCAATACTAAGTTCTGTATTTTACCTGTAACGCACCAAAACTAACCTCCCCCATCACATAACAAAACACAGGAAGTAGCTCTATGTTGGATCCAAATATTATACATTTATGTTTATTAACTTAAAAAAGAAAAAAATACAAACTGAATATAAACTAAAAATCTCGTCAAACATCTCTCAGTCGGATAAAAATGCATTTTTTATGTGCAAACAAGATCTTCAAAAGCCCAAGACCAAAAAAAGTCTTGGGCTTTTGTTTAGTTTTTTTAGGGCTGTTTAAGTCTACAGCTGCAGGTTGTTCTTCAAATTCCTCATCAAGAGCTTTAGATCGTCTGGTTCTGACTTGTTAGAACATACACACCAGTGATGAACTGGAACACCTGCTCAAGGAATCTGGGTTTAAACCCTCCAGACTGAGTAGATGCCAGACCTACAGCCATGGAAATTCAATATCCGCATGTTACACATAATTCAAATAATTAAAAAAAAAAACCTAAGTCATTATAACTATGCGGAAGACACATAGCCCTACATTACTATGTGAAAAGGGGACTTTGAACTCTAAAAATTTGGGTGAAAGAGGATAATTAATATAGCTAGAAGCCTCCAATCAGGCTTGAAAATGTGGGTGTAGGTCTTTGACGCTGGTCTCTCAGGCTCACTGCCCCACAAGTTTCAGAACCATATTATTGTTTCCATCTTATTTTCTCTTATTTCATGTAAAGCAATCTGAATTATCTTACTAACAAAATTTGCTAAATAAACAAATAAACTTACCTTGCCTATAATGCTTACGCAGAATCTTGTAGAATTTGAAATTTTAATTTCCTGGGGTACACAAGTATTAAAACCATTTAATGAATAAAAAAAATACTTTGAAAGAAACCTGATCTTTGAAGTCTGGACAACAAAAATAATTCCAAACAATACTTTAAATAGAATTTACAGATTTTCAAGTTGAGGCAGAAATAACTTTAAATTAATCTCATTCATTTGAGCACACTATGAGGGTGAAATATATGATGCAGATGACATTTATCTATGATATGGAATCTTGTCATGATTTTGTTCTTTTCAAGCCCATCATCTCTGTCGTTTTGTGCATCTTTATGCATTTTTGCTATTCAATAAAATAACATTCAGACTGTTGTGTTCTGTAATTATGCTCTATTAGCTCTAGATGAAAGTGTAATTGAAGCTCACATCAGGTCACACAAATAACTCAGCAAACATTGGGATAAAGTCACAGCAACTTAAAAATATACAAATTTATTAGACATTATTCAACTTCAAGTTAAACATATTTCAATTACAAACTATTAGCTAAGCTAGAGAAACCTCAGAAAATGTCAGGGCTGTGAAGGTTCAGTGTGGCACTCATGACCAATTTTCACGCACCACGCCACACATTATATTTTGCACGCATATTTCCTCTTTCTATATACATTCCATACTCTTAATGGCTTGCCATAGATCGAGAAGCATAACTTTTTCACTGACTGTGATAACGAATTCCAGACCAATCCATCAGTCCTTTGTGCCGGAATCTAGCCAACCGCAGAAGGCACCATGAAATACAAACCAATCAGAGGTAAGCGGCAGGTCTTCCTTCATGTCTCTAGCTGTCTTTATCGCCATTATTTGCTGACATTTAAAACCTCCTAGAAGTTCTCCCGATTGCTGGAAGGTAACTTATCCGATTTTGTTCAATGCTGATTTGCTGTTTCTCCTTAAGTATTCTAGTTAATATGTACTGCTTTAAATTCTCTGTAAGTTTATTATATCCTGTATTTATTGCAAAGTTGCTGACATTTTATGTACCTCTTCTCTTACCCCTTTCACATTTAAAAACGAGACTAACGACCTCAATGTGTGTTAGTGTGCCAGTAACAGACTGGAACTATATATATATATATATATAGACCCGCTAAAGCCCCTATCAGTGTGTGAATGGGTGAATGACTGAATGTAGTGTAAAGCGCTTTGGTCAAGTCTCCTGACTTAAAAAAGCGCTATATAAGTACAGGCCATTTGCCATTTATAGCATTGGCACATCACACATTACAGGAAATGTCCAGGAGAGTCAGGACAGGAATGAGGGAGGATCGGATGGTGGTTCTGGAGATCTGTCACTGCACATCTGTCAGTGCTATCTGTAAGCAGGTGTGCTCCATGCTGACATGTCTCAAACTTTATTTTGTTGGCTAACAACATGCTATGAATTATGTTGGATATAAAAGCACAAGAAACTCACAATACTAATCATAAACTTATTACATAGCCTCAACCTAAGAGATATCTTTCTGCTGCTGTCCAGTCCAGTTATAACAGACCTACAACTGCCATAGTTTTTCATTTTCTTTTTTACTTTTTCCTGTAAAACTCAAAGAGAAAGAAGTGGATGGAATGGTCCAAGCTATCTCTTTGGTTGCAAACATGCTATACTTAAAAAAAAATTGTACCTTGACAACAGTTTGAACAATAAGTAGGTCTCTGCTATGTGGCCTCCAGGCAGTCCACAGGTCAAAGAGACCTGAGTTGGTAAATATGAGTTTTACATGGAGCACCCAAGAAGTCAAAAGAGTCCTTAATAGTAGGTGTGTCCTGAAAGTAGTGATGTTATGAGATGAGCCGAGGCTTCGAGGCGTGTGTCGAGTAGTGGGGAAGCATTTCCGTGAAGTGCATATCAAGACTTGTTCATGTAAGGGAGTAGCCAAAATAGGTGATGACTGAAGCCTCACTACAGTCTTGCAAAGTTTGACATGCTTTTAAACAGCTTCACTATTCAGTGAAGATGTGGGTGTTTTTAGGACAGCTGCAGTCAGTTGAATATTTGGATAGAGTTTGCAAAGAGTTTAGAGACACTAAGAATAGATCTGTTGGAAAAACAACCAGTCTAGTTGGTTAGAACAATTTTAGTTATATATTAACCAATATATTAGTCAGACACTGACCAAGCCATTGGATTTGGTTGTAATATTAGTATTGAGTAGAATTCAAATCCAGAAAATATTTAGCAGGGTAGTGGTGTTGGCTTAACCCCAGGCTCACACCGACTCCGGTCTTACCGTTGCGGTGCGGTGGGTGCGGCGCCGCAGTGATTCCAAGTCATTAAAAGGACGTAAACCTCTCTCACCGGCTGCTGAGCTGTCCGGCTGCGGTTACCGAGACACTCCGGCGCTGCAGAAAATTCCGCAAGAAAGCTATCCTTGCGGCGTGCCGGAGCCCTCCGCAACAAGCTCTCGCAAAAATCCTTTATTTGGGCCGTGTTATCGCGTGAAGTTACGTGAACTCAAGTGAACTTCTGTAAATCTCCGGACCTGTTGCCGGAGCCGCACCGCACCGTAGTCAAAAGGGCGGTGTGAGAGGGGGTGTGCGGGAGTTGCGGTCTCCGTCGGCTCGGTAACTGCACCGGAGCCAGTGTGAGCAAGGGGTTAGGAGTTTGTCGTTCAATCTACTATAAAGATTCTTGGTTTGAGCTTTGTGCTTGACTTTTGAAAGTTGCTGAAAAGGACTAGGTTCTCAAGTAATGCGATCAATGAGAAAGTAAAACTGTTAACTTGTCTCACCTGTATGAATTTTCATGTGGGTAATTAAATAAAGATTCTTGGTAAAACCCTTCCCACACGCCTGACATGAAAAAGGTTTCTCACCAGTGTGACTTCTCATGTGGGAAATTAAATACAGGTTTTTAGTAAAACCCTTACCACAAGTCTGACATGAAAAAGGTTTCTCACCTGTGTGAATTTTCACGTGACGAGTTAATTGGCTTTTCACTGCAAAGCTTTTTCCACAGGTCACACATGAAAAAGGTTTCTCGCCTGTGTGAATTCTCATATGACGAGTTAATTGACTTTTTACTGCAAAGCTTTTTTCGCAGGTCACACATGAAAAAGGTTTTTCACCTGTGTGAATCCTCATATGAAGCTTCAAATTTCCTTTTAAACTGCAGCTTTTCCCACATATCTGACAGGAGTAAGGCTTTTCCCCTGTGTGCGTTCGTATGTGTTCTAGCAGGGTACCTTTCTTAACAAAACTCTTTCTACACATCTGACACACAAACGGTTTCTCTCCTGTGTGTTTTCTTAAGTGAACTTTAAGACTTGTTCTGTAAGAAAAACTCTGTCCACAGATCTGACATGAGAAAGGCTTCTCGCCTGTGTGACTTCTCATATGGCTAATTAAAGCACAGCTTATGCTAAAACTTTTACCACAGGTGTTAAATGCATAAGGTTTCTCGCCGCTGTGAATTCTAAAATGTTTTATCAGATGACTTTGTTGAATGAACCTTTTTCCACAAGTAGAACACTTAAAAGGTTTCTCACCTGTTTGTGTTCTCATGTGCACAATCAAATACCTCTGAGTGAATGTTTTCCCACATATTTTACAACATAACAGATTATTATCTTTGTCAATTCTTTTGACCTCAGTTAGATTTGTTATTCCACTCTTGCTTTTCTCTAACGCTTTATTTGTGCTTGATACCGAGTCACTGACAGTCTTGTCCTTCTGAATATGGTGCTTAGTGATAGCAAGTTCCTGGTCCATGTTTGGGTCTGGTTCTCTTTGGTCTTCATCATGAGAAACAGGACTCATCATAAAATTATCAGTCTCCTGCTTGAGGTCTGTGTTCGGTTCAGTTTCAGAAAATGGGCTCATCTTAAATCCATATGTCTCCCCTTTTAGCACCAGCTGCTCTTTGTCCTGACTGATGCAAAGTTCAGTGCATTTTTCTGTGATCTGCACAGGTTCTATTTCTTCCTGCTTCAAGCACCAGGTCCCCTTCTGGTTACAGAGCTGTGGATCAGCCTGGACCTCCTCCTCCTTACAGATATATTGCTTTGGGAGGTCTAAAAGAAAAACAGAAAAAAAAAATATTATTTTTCCAACTAACTAAACCCCACTTTAGACAAACATTATATAACCAAAAGCATGACGTTGTGCCCAGACATTGAAACTCAGACCTTTTGGCTCAGTTCCAAGGTAAAGGTCCAATCAATTCATTTTTCATTTGTCAGGCAGGTGTAGCTTACAGCTGACAATAAATCCAGTGTTGATCCAGAACACTCCCAAACAATCTATAGATATAACTTATAGAGTGTCTTCCAGCCCTGGCATCACACCAGTGTTTGGCAAATGTGTGGCAAAATAATGCTTTTAGAACTACATGGGTATTTATTGGTTTTAAAATGTAGTTTTCTTCTAACCTCAAGGCAACATTGAGGCTGGTGCCATTCGAAAGACGTATTGAGAGCTGCTGCAGACTGCTTTCCAAAGAATGCCAAAAAGTAAAATGTTTTATTCCTTTTTCTTTCCTACTTTAACTGTGCCTGGGTAGATATTGCAATAGAAATAGAGTAAAACGCTAATGTTTGTTCTAGAAGGGGTTTGCTTGAACTTTATGCTGCATGTTTTATTTGTTGGCTAAAAAATGAATCCCTGAGCCTGCTTTTATGTGCTTTGAACTTGATGACTGAGGTAGTTTTCAATAGACCATGCTGATGATTAGTTGAATTTGATCATTTATTCTTTTTTTCCCTCTCGTCTCTCCTTGCTTTCATTTTCCTCTCTTCACATTGTCTGTACCATTTGCTTCTATTTGACCACATATTTAACTTTCCACTAGACCCTGTTAGGATTTTGTCTGTTACTGTCAGAAAAAAAAGACAAAGCTGATTTTTGGAAATGAGTGCTTTCATTTCTGGGCCCACTTCCACTTGAGGGTGTGGCTGTGGGCGTTTTAGCAGAATCCTCGGCTTACATACATGGCTGCAATTAATCTTTGGAACTCTGGATTTATGTTTTGCCAATAATTTTAACCTGTTTTGGAATTGTGGGCCCTTTTTATTAAAATCAGAGATTAGGTTAATCTCAACAATGAAGGTTGTAAACCACTCAAAGCTAACCTCCAGTACTGCTTTTTAACTGTTACAAAAATCCCTCACCAGAGGTAATGCCAGAGTGGAAGAGTTTCCAACCCTTCGCAAGGTTACTGGTTCCAGAGCCAGAGCCACGTATCAAGGTGAACACGACTTTTTCTAGCCAGAACTTCTCACACCAGCTCAGGACCCTTCCCCACCAGAGAGGTGACATTCCATGTCTCGAGTGCCCTCTTCTGCAGCATAGGAACAGACCACCAAGGTCCTCATGCAAAAATATAACATCTGCTTGTATCTTTCATAAACTAGCTTCTCATGGCAGTGTAATCCATCTAATCGTTTTCTATAAGAAGGTCAGAAATAGAAACTATATCTACAGAAGTTTCTGGTTATGATGTTGGATGTTATACGTTTTGTGAGCTAGCAACCTTAATTATAGATATCAAATCACTCTGTAGGGGGTTATGCATTTGCTTTTATCCGCAGCATTGGGAGTGGTGCCCTAGTGGTTAGGGCATTGAGCTTTGGACCCTGAGGTTATGAGTTTGAAATCCTCTCCCACAGAGTGCCACTCTGGGTCTCTGAGCAAGACCCTTAACCCCAGATTGCTCCCCGGGCGCCCCCCTATGTCAGCACAAGGGAATGGGTTAGATGCAGAGGTAAATTTCTTCAATGTGAGATCAATACAGTTCCATTATTATTATTATTAAAAATTTGATTTTTCAAGAATCTTTTCAAAAAAATTTGTTTTTCTATTGTTTAATAAATCGTAAAATGCCGATAACAGAATTTGACACTATTGGACACATATTTGGCACAATGTGCCAAATGGATCCATTGCATACAAACAGACCTACGCTATCATCAACATATTTATTGATGTCAAGGTTTGTACACGTGTTCAAAAACGGGAATGAAAAATGTAGTAAATTACAGATGCATGGCAATGGAATGATGTTGAGATGTTGTTGAGTTTTTTTTTTTTTTTTTCCAGAGGACTAAGTTAGAATCAGTTGTAATTAAATAAAAAAATCAGGTCAGCTGAGGCACATTAAGGCTTTCTGTTAAAGGAGCTTCAGATATTCTCACCTTCAGCAGAGTTCTGGAAGAGGAGCCGCTCCTTGTTTGGTTCTAGTTGATTGTGGCCCATTTCCTCATTAACAGGATTCGGCTGAGCTTCGTCCTGATTGAAGCCCAGTTCGCTGCTTTCTTCCTTCAGTTGAAGAGGTTCTGGTTCCTCCTGTTCTTCCTTGATTCCCAAAGCCTCTGTTTCATCCAGCTCCACCTTTGACCTCTTAGATTCTGGTTCCACTGGGTTACAGGGCTGCTGGTCAGTCAGGATGGTCCCAGTAGAGACATAAAGCTGTGGGACATCTGGACAGGAAGACATAGTAGAACCAATGGATGAGAATGGAAACTTTGAAGATGATCCAGAATGTTCTGAACCCTATTTTTATCCTATAGATGTATATAATTGGTAGTACTGCCGCCTTGAAGCAAGAAGATAATGGGTTCGATTACCGGCCCGGCTTGTTCTGCATGGAGTTTGCATGTTCTCCCTGAGCATGCATGGGTTCTCTCCGGGTACTCCAGTTTCCTCCCATAGTCCAAAAACATGGCTGTTAGGTTAATTGGCTTCTCTAAATTCTCCTTAGGTGTGAATGGTTGTTTGTGTTGCCCTGCGATGGACTGGTGACCTGTCCTGGGTGTACCCCGCCTCTCGCCTGTAGAAAGAGATGGTGATAGAAAATGGATGGATGTATATAATAGTGTTGATCATTATTTTATATTTTGTTTTCCTGTTATATATTTCTGTCATTCAATGTAAGCATTTAAAATTGTTTTAAAAATATATAGATATTAAATGTAATTATATATATATATATATATATATATATATATATATATATATATATATATATATACATTTATTATAGATTGTGTGTTCATCACATCTGATTGTTTTTACTGTTTATGATTCAAAATATTTAATTGATGTATACTTAAACACGGAGCTCTCATAACAGTATTTATAAAGTTTGCATCATAAAATTGTGAAAAGGTTTAGTTTTTAGTGAGTAATGGTTATATAAATACTCCAATGAGTGCTAAATAAAACTACATAGTGGAGCGGTTGATCTCCCCAAGATGGCGGTCCGGTGTTTGGCCAGCAGGGGGAGTACCTGTGCTCTTCAGAACTCACTTTACTCCCAACTCAGGCCTCATTAACTTTCAAGTCTCAGCCATTAGTAGAACCCATCAGAACCGAACCTGCTCTCTGTGAGCTGATCCGGGGTCTCCAGCTGATGTCCAGCAGTCTCTGACGGTCGATCTCCTCCTGGTACTGGATGATGGTTTTTTCCACCTCTGAGAAGATTTCTTCAGCAGCAGCAGTTAGTCTCTGCCTGATAAACTCTCTCAGAGGCTGAACTGAACTCATTGTTGCTGCGCAGATTTCTGGACTAGATCCTCACACCAACGGGCTGCTAAAATGATGCTAACCCTGTTAGCACCTTTGTTTTCTTTCTCCAGAATAATCAGAATCAGTTTCCGGTGTGACGCCGAACATTAGGGGGCGCTATTTCATTCTCTCTCCCCTGACTGGTGAAAAACAACCTGTTCTGGATATTTATTTATTTTTCTGTTAAACCTTTTTTTTTTTCAAACAAACAAATACACAACAAAAAAGAAAAAGAAGTATGCAATAAAACGTGACAATAATAATAAATAACATAAAAACAAACAGGGTTGTTTATTAAGTAAAACCATAAGTGCATTAAAGATATGAGTCTGTTATTGATTTAATGTCGAGTTCAGTATCTTCAAGAAAATGGGAAAAAACATGGCGATTAATTGGTAAATTTCTATTTAAGAATATATATATATATAAACATATTATTCTTTTATTTATATATATATATATAGAGAGAGAAATCACATTTTCTTTTATTTTAACATGTAGTGCTTAGCAGGATCAATTTTCCTTTACCTTGTTCACAATCAAATATTTATGGGGGCTCTTCCAAACACTTTTCCAGTCCATATATCAGATATAACAGCTCCAATGCTATAGATGGACCCAAACATTAATTTCTAAAACCACCTGCATATTCCATATATCCCATGAGAAGCAGATTTTCCTCACGGATTAATCAGCTGGGTCCATCATGGAAAATTCCTGGGGACTAACTGGAAATGTATATATTAAGTAGAATTCATTTTAAGTGAGAAATCGTCCTGCTTTACTTAGCAGCTGAGCCACGAGTAGGATTTAATTTTAAACCCAGGTCTCTAAGAAGAGTGACCTTCTTTTAAATAAAATATCTCTATTATTCCAGAGGAGGTATTTGTGAGAAGTTACATTTATAAACGAGCATCCATGCTGCTTAAAGTTTTACAGGAAGTTTGTCAACATAATTTAAAATGAAGTTAAAGCCACCTAAGGTAGAGAAAGCATGATATAAGTCGGAAGTGTTAATCTCAAATTATTTTAAATGTGTTATAAAGGGCAGAGAGTTTCCATCATGCTTATCACCAGCTGTCTTAGGGCAAGAGGGGGATACTCTCTGGACAGGTTGCAAGTCCATCACAGGGTAACTGCGATGGACAGGTCAAACAACCATTCAAGCACACCTAAGGAGAATTTAGAGAAGCCAATCAACCTAACAGTCATGTTTTTGGAGTTTCAGAGGAAGGGAGGACATGCAAACTCCATGTAGAAAGACCTCAGACTGGGATTTGAACGCAGGATCTCCTTGCTGCAAGGTAGCAGTGCTACCCACTGCACCACTGAGTAGTCCTGGGCAGAGAAAGCTAAAAAGTTAAATCCACCTGATTCACAATTGTTTATAATAACAGATTTTTTGACGTAATGTGTACGATTTTTCCATACAAAATTAAGAAGCGCTGTCTAAATGTAAAATTAGAGGAGCATATTAACTGGTTAAATGGTCTTCAGAGATCAAAAGACCTAAATTAGTAACTTTTGCCTAACAAGGGATATTGCAAATGACATTTGCTGGACAGTTTTAATTGCTGGTAATATCCTTTTTTTTATTCAAACATAAACCAAAGGGCTTTGAAAAGACACTTACCACATCTAAGGCAGGAGGGATCTTGTTTTTATTCCTTAAAAAAAAGAATAATAAGTTCTTTATTAGTTATGTGCGGCACTAATGGAGACATGAGTTGCAAGAATCTGTGAACAAAGTAGTAATAAATACAGAGAGATGGGACATCCTAGGTGAATATCATGTTTTAGTTAAAATCTAGGGGAGGAGCCATTTGGCATTTTAATATTGCTACTGGATTATAATGTTTTAACAGCATTAAAAAGACAGGACCATAACAAAAATTTTTGAAAGAATTAAAAATGAAGTGATCTTCAATTTTTTCAAATGCCTTAATAAAAATCTAGGAAAAGAATAAAACTATTATTAGGCACCTAATTAGAGTAATCAAGTAGGTCTAGAACTATACTCTGATGTTGTTAGAGATGTGTCTGCTTCTCATAAACCCTGATTGTGTCTTATAACTGTATCCAAGATCTCCTTATTTTTATTAGCAAGTATTAAGGCTACAATCTTATTATAATTGTTGAGTAAACATTGAGGTCTCTAATTATCAATAAAAGTGGTTCTTTGTTAGGTGTTTAAATGAGTGTTATTAGACTTTAGGTCAAATTAGGAGGTAGAGTGTTTTTCTATCGTGGGCCACAGTTTATTACATAATTCTCTGTCCTCCTTGCACAGGTCCTCAGTGAATCTCTGTCAGTTATCCCTCAGGTAGGGTGGTACCTTGGCTGCTTTCCATCTGGCATCTCTAAGGACTCTGGGTGAACTGAATGATCCCTCTGGGTTTGGTGCTTCCTGGTCTTTTGGCTACAAGTTGGAGCATGACACAGCTTGTGTTTATGTTTTGGCAGATATGACTGGCAAATTTCTATCTCTTTTCTTCGGATGTCTTCTTTCTCTGACTCCTCAGCTACTTGCACTTTGAGATTCAACCTCATCAAGAGTCTCTCCAACTCAGTTAACCTGTGCTGGCTGTTTTTCCCCCTGACTTCCTTCTCATGTAACATTTTTTTTAAGGTCACTGACTTTCCCCTTCACATTGTTTATTTCAGCACATATAAAGTCAATTGTCTTTTTGAGACCCTCAGTTTTTAGTAGTATTCTGTTTCCCCATATCATCAAGGTTATCAGATCGGCTACTGATCAGCGCAGACAGACTGGATATTATCTCATTTGTAGCAGATGGATCAGGGTTTCTACATGTTTTATTTAACCAATGCTGTATCATTTGGTGTGTTTGGATCCGGCGGCTGCGTCCTTCGAAGGCCAGATTTGTCAGCCAATAATGCAGCATTGTGGCCTGTTCGGATTGGAAGACTCCTCCTTATACAGCCGACAAATGCATACTTCTTTTTGCTTGTTTTCAAGGAAAAAATCCCTCCTCAGCCAACCAACCATGGTGCGGTGCCGAAGCCTTTTCGGATTCAAAGACCCCTCCTTGTACAGCCAAAAAATGCATCCTCCTATTTTCCCATTTTAAAGGACAGGTCTGGTGTCTCCTCCGTAGCCTTGGGGATCCCGATTCATTGCAAGTCCAAGTTGCCGGCTGCTTCTTGCTCAGAGGAAAAGGGGAAATAGGGACGAACAGTGGTGACTATTGTGAGTGCGGTTCATTATAATACAAGTATGTGAATAGGTTTGTCTTGAATTGATGAAAAAAGTTTTTTTGAATGGTTATATGTGGCGGGTAACGGATAGATGCCAAACTTCTTACAACTTTCCTGGGTGCAAATTACATTTCCAGAAGCTTCAACAGCAGGACCGTCATCGCGAATATCAGATTTATAGTCCCCCTACTACAGAAATATTGAAATCTGTGCTTAAAGGAATAGTACACCCAAAACATGATTAGCCTTCATTTTCTACTCACCCCCATGCTGAACAACACTCTGGAGTACTTTTTTGATATCTCAAATGCATCTGGAGATCTGGGAGGCTTCTTGCTGTCTGCTGACATTCAAATAATGGAGGTCTATGGTGCCCGAGACAGAAAGGTCCATAAAAGTCCACAAAAAACGTGTCAATATTCCTCCATACTGCTCGTCCAATGTATTCCAAGTGTCCTGAGTGGGTAGCATCCAGAATTTACTCGAAACGAAGTCATTTAGAATGTTTTTAGAGCATAAACAGTAGTGTATAGGATTTCCTGAAAGCGCGCACATGCGCGTTCATGACGCTACGGAAGCCGGCAGACCAAACCAGATGAAAGTGCGCATTCAGCGTCTGCTCTGCCAATAATGCAAGCGTAGAAGAAGAAATGTGCTGTTTACCTTTGCAAAGAAAGAAACAACGAAAGAAAAATGTCTGAGGACTTCAGTGTTGAGGAAGAGCATGAGTTCTTTACTGAGCTGAATGCGCACTTTCGTCTGGGTTGGTCTGCCGCGGTTTCCGTAGCGCCGTGAACGCGCTTTCAGGAAATCCTATACACTACTGTTTATGCTCTAAAAACATTCTAAATGACTTCGTTTCGAGTAAATTCTGGATGCTACCCACTCAGGACACTTGGAATACATTGGACGAGCAGTATGGAGGAATATTGAAACGTTTTTTGTGGACTTTTATGGACCTCCATTATTTGAATGTCAGCAGACAGCAAGAAGCCTCCCAGATCTCCAGATGTATTTGAGATATCAAAAAAGTACTCCAGGGTGTTGTTCAGCATGGGGGTGAGTAGAAAATGAAGGCTAATCATGTTATTGGGTGTACTATTCCTTTAAATGTCAGTCAAACCCATTTGCACAGGGACAGATAAAACATTTTAATAAACCAAACATTACCCGCCACATATCTGACTATTTAAAAACTATTTTCATTAATTTCAGGCGGAATTCACATACTTGTATTATATTAAACTGCACTTACAATATTCACCACTGTTCAGCGGCATTTCCCTTTTTCCTCTGAGCACGGAGCAGCCGGCTTGCTTGGATTCGCAATGAATCGCATGATACCAAAGGCTACGTAGGACCGGACCTGTCCATCAAAAAGAGCGAAAACAAGGCTGCCTTTGTCTGCCCCATAAGGAGGGGTCTTCAAATCAGAGCAGACCACAGCACCTTGCCATGACGTAATTGACCGACTAATCTGGCGTTCGAAGGGCACAGCCGCCAGATCTGAACACACCACCACTGTTACTATTCTTTATCCCAATGGAAAAATGAGACAAAATCTTATGCAAAGACTTTAGAATTTGTGAGGACAATAAGTGCTGGTTAATTCCTTTCTTTTTGGAGTAAATTCAATCTTCTTCATTAATGCCCTGTTCTTGAACTAAGCCTAATATAATGATGCCCCTGAATTAGTATTAGCCTTGTTCCTTCTTCGTTTTCTTTGTTGAATATTATATATTAAGATATGTTTTATGCACCTTTTGTAAATGCTTTTATCCATTTCTGTAATGGTACATCATTATATTCATAATGGTTAAATGAATGTATAAAGGGAAACAAAAATGTTGCTGTTCTTCCTCTTCAGATTTAATGGCAGTTGGCAAG